TTATATATAAGTATTTTTTATAATATAGTAATCCTTCTTAGTTTCATATTATTTTATTAATATTTTAGTAAAAGTATGTATAATAATAGATTTTTTTTTTATTATTATATTTTTATATATATATTTTTTATTTTTTTATTTTTTTAATATTAAAGATAAGACTATGCTTTTATCTTTATTAAACATAATGAAAACTTTTATATAATTAGAAAATATTTTATATTTAAGTTTAGTATTAAGAATAAGAACTCAGACTAACTAAGTTTATCTAATAAAGGTAAATCTAGTATTTTATTTGTAAACTAAATCTACTAGAATAGCCAAGACTTATCTAGATTTGAGATAGATTGAAAATATATAAAGAGTATATATAGCATTAGGTCTAATTAGGATACCAGAGTAATATTTTTGAAGAGAATATTTGTAAAGTAGTATTAGAGATATTTGTTGTAGTAGGTAAACTATACAAGAGATTAGTCAGTAAAAGTGTTTGAGATTGTGTATATTGAGGCTGAGGTCATGAGATATAGTAAGAGATCTAGATATCTATATATAGATGCTTGTTAATATAAATAAGAAGTTGTATAGTTATTTATTTGGCTACTTGGTTTGAAGTAGTGTGTTCTTAAATTATATCTATAATATCTAATAGGACAAGTTCAAAGAGTATAAAAATAATTAATAGTTTGTTAGAAAAATTATATATTTGGAGACTATTAAGGTTAATAATTTAGTTGTGCAAGTAATAAGTTTGGTTTGAGAAAATTTGAAGTCTGTTGAGAATAAAATTAACTATAAAGAGTTTTGAATAAAATTATATAAAGAGTCTAGAGAAAAGCATATAGCTTAATGTAGTATCATGCTTATTTGTTGATATTGATAACAAATATTAGAATAATAAAGATTTCTTTTTTATGCAAAGTGTGGAATGCAGGGAGTTTATCAGACAATAGCTGACTCTGAATATTTTAAGTATAGATTATTAGAAGTTATAAGCAAAATTAGAAACTTTTTGGTTATTATTCAGATAGAGCTAGGTTGTCTTTTAGTGAATATATTAAAAAATTTATATCCATAGTTGAAATTGGTTTTAGAATGACTAAGTAGCTAAAATATTTGTATAACAAATTTTTCAGATACTACAGTGAGTAGAAAGTTCTAGAGAGTAACTATTTGAGATTAGAGTATATAAGAGTTAAATATTATGAAGATTCAAGTAAATCTTAATAGATTTACAACATATAAATTTATTAATTTTATTTTAATTTTAAAGTTTTCAATCTACTATTTAATTTTAAAAGTAATTCAAATGATTAAATAATTTTATAGATAATAAAATATTAGCAAAAATTTAATATATCTAATACAGATACAGAAGCACTAATAAAGTTTATTTATTCTTTACTCAAATATTTCAAAATAAATAAAGCTGATATGTTACTAACTTCTATGCATACTGTAAAATTATTATTAGACAATTTAACTAAATATAAAAAATATATTTCAATCTCAAAGTGGCATAAACTCTATAACTTATTAGAAATAAAAAGGATAATCAACTAATATATAAAAGGTGTATACATGTAGAATTTTCTAATCATAGATCAATAATAAAAAATTGCTATGTTATAAACTATTAATAGTACAAAGAAGATGCATTATTATGATTATTAAAACTTTATCCAATTAGAAGTATAAAACAACAATTTTATATAATATATTAGAAAGCAAACTTTGAGAATATGTTAAGAAATTCTACTAATAAAAATGTTCCAGATGAGATTTTTTCAGATATTTATAAAGGTAATATCTGGAAAAACTTTGCTATAGATCCAGATAAGCAAGTTTATTTTTTACAAAAAACACACTTGAGATCTATATTAGCCTAGCTATTAATATTAATTGGTTTCAACCATTAAATTATACAGTTTATAGTGCTGGGTAATTTATAGGGTTTGTATAATTTACTACATGATGAATGATTTAAATCAAACAATCTTTTAACATTAAGTATTATCTCAGATACAAATAAACCTAGTAAGTATTAAATAAATAATTGCTTTGCACCAATTGTAGATGAGTTAATTGAATTTTCCTCTGGTATAAAATTACTAGCAACTTTTGAATATAAAAAAGAATAAAAGATATATATAACATTAATATTATCAGCTAATGATGTTTTGCTGCAAGAAAGATTTGCAGTCATGCAAGTCATGCAGTAAAATATTAATGTTACCCAGAATGTGCTAAATATGATTATGCAACCAAAAGAAATCATTATAGAGATTTGAAAATTTGGATGAATGGTTTAATTCAATAGATATTTCACAATATTTTAAAGCAGCAAAACAATGGTTATCTTATAGAAATAATCAAGAGTGTGATAACTATGTGAAAAGAATGGGAATAAGATGGTCATAACTATATTGGCTGAATATTTTGATCCAGTTAAATTTATTGTGGTCGATCTAATGCATTGCCTATTCTTAGGTATCAGAAAATGGATGATGAAACAGTATTTTCAGATCATGATAAACTTAGTAAAGACCAACTTATAATACTTGAAAAGCGTATGTCTAATGTAAAAGTTCCATCAGAAATTGGTCGAATTCCATCAAAAACCGCATGTGAATCAGAAGAATTTAATCAATTTATAGCAGATCAGTGGAGGATATTTTACCAAGTATACGCTATTCCATACAATCTATTTAAACTCAGATTTTCGCATTTTGATTCTTCACTGATATATTTAATAAAATAATAATTTAGATTTTTAGCATTTGCAGCATTGATTTTAACATATGGTATCGACCATTAGTTGCAGCCTTAATTCTGCTTGCCAATACTAGGTAGAAATTATGCAAAAATACTTATTATTAAATTTATTGCTATATATTTCGCATTAGTGTTAAAAACAAATTTTAATCTTTATTACAATATTATATTTCAAAATTTCAATAAAACGTATCATTTTTTTAAAAAATTTATAATAATACTTATATGAATAAAATAGTGCGAATAATATATACTTAGCTATAAAGTTATATAAAGACAATTATTTGTAAGAGCTTCTTAAAAGCTCCCCACAACTATTCCTGAATTTAAGAGTGACAATTTTGTGTACGGTGCAGCAATACTGTATTATTTTTTATTTTTATTTTTTTGGTTTAATATTTTTAGCTTGACAAAGGTACGTATCCATTTAGTATTTTATAAATTGGTTCCAAATGCTAGCTTCATTTGACACGCACATATCTTCATGTTCTAAATATGTGTTAGGGTACTAACTAGTACATATTAATTGGAAATAGAATGTGCCACGAAAATTCGGCCAAGAAATTTAAATTTAAAGAGGTGCTGAAGAGGCTTAATGTAATAAAATGCTACTGGAAGTAAGACGACGGCAAAATTATTCAAAGATATAGAAGGCAAGAGAAAAAAAGCGCCCAAGTCAAAAAGTTTTTATTCAATTTATTTTACTCTCTTACTTTCGTCAGATTGCAGCCTAGATGATAGATCAATAGTTTACGTACCTCTTTGAATCCGAGGTGCGTCAGCTGTGATTTGAGGCAAGCGTTAGTCTGACAAAAGTTTATAAATCTGGATTGTAATCGGTTTTTCATAAATTCCGGGACAAAGTAACGGTACTGTGCAAATAATTACATATACTGTAATGTGGTAAAGATTATTTGGGTGATGGAAAGTGAAAGCTTGTAAATCGATTCATATTCATATTTCGTTTTTTGGAATTGGCCCTGAAAAGTTCAATCCCAGATGATTAGCTCTTAATGTAATCTTTATTTTGACCAATCTAAAAGATAATGTTACCGAAGAGAATAGCCTTATACACATTTGATCACATGTAATTATTGCGGAATCAATTTTGGTGAAAGAATTCGATAAAGCGAGCGTTTGTTTGTTAAAATTAATCAGTTTACCGTAATGGCATTTCTTTTCGTCAATAATTTACTGATCTACGTATATTCGGAAAATTTACATGGAATTTTACCTGAACTGGTACTACGTATACCGGTTTAATGCATGATTACTATTGTCATTGTCTCCAAAACCGTCCTGTGCTACTCAGAATAAATAAATTTCATTTCTTTGTTTCTATTATGTAGTAATTCATTTATTATCAAAATTTATACCATGAGCTCAAAGTTTCTTACCGACATAGCTGAAGATTATAAACAACTTTATGAAACTAGGGAAGATTATGATGTGATTATTTATGCGGGAGAAGAGCCTAATGCTGAAGAAGTCCATGCTCATTCTTTAGTTCTTCGTACTAGATCCACTTATTTTCGTGGAGCTCTTGCTTCTGATTGGGCAACGAAAGATAAAGACAGTGGTTGTTTTATCTTTAAGAAACCTAATGTCTCTTTATCAAGTTTTGAACTTATCCTTAAGTAAGTAGTAAATAATTTATTATTTATATTAATGACCAATTTTAATATAATTTATATCATAAATAGATTTTTATATTGTGGAGAAGTAGATGTTCAAAATTTAGAAGGAGAAACTATTTTAGAGCTTTTGGTTGCCTCGGATGAATTTGGTCTGACATCACTTATTGACTATATACTATATTTTATTGAAAATCAGAAAAGTTTTTTAGAAGAAAATCCTGTAGGCATGCTTCATATGGTTGCTCGTTACGAAACTTTTAACAAGATAGGAAAGTTTGCCTTAGAGACTATTTGTGCAAACCCTGACATTCTTTTTGATTCAAATAATAAGTATCTTTCATTAGATGAAGATGTGTTAATACTAATTCTTAAGCAGGATGAACTTAGAATGGAAGAAGGTGAAATTTGGGAACGATTAATTAAATGGGGAATTGCTCAGAATAGTGAACTTAAGGATAATGTGACTGAATTCGATCAGGATGATTTTAAATTATTAGAAAAAACCTTACAAAGATGTATTCAATATATTAGATTTCACGAAATTAGCATGCCAGATTTTTATCATAAAGTATTACCGTATATATCTATCCTTCCAAATAACCTATTCAAAGATATTTTACGCTATTATATGGTACCAAATGCAGTACCTCTTTATAATGCATTTCCCCCTAGGAATAGTGTTAACTCAATTTTGATAAATATATCCCACACGCTACTATTTGCAAGCTGGATTGATGAAAAAAATAATGATTATTACAAAGATAAATCTCCTTACAAATTTATTCTTTTATTCCGTGGCAGTAGAGATGGTCTTCAAAATAATATATTTCATCAAAAATGTGACCAGAAAGGTGCAACAATTGTCGTGGCAAGAAATCAAAATTCAAAACAACTTATCGGTGGTTACACTCCAATTGATTGGGATATGAATAGCAAGAATAAACATTCAACTAATAGTTTTATATATTCATTAAGTGATCCAAATAATATATTAGATACTAGATTAGGACGCATTTCACCCTCTTATTATTCTTATGCAATGTGTTGTAATAGTAATAATGGACCAGATTTTGGTGGAAGTTTACGTCTTAATGGAAATTACGTATATACCAATAATAATGGATATTATCCAAATGTTGGCATTATAAATGGTTCACAAGTTGAGGATTATGAAGTGTTTCAAGTAATTAAAAAGTAATTCATGTTTCTATACTATTCTCAGACATAATTTCAGATGTAGCACTATAATCAATTAATTATATTATGATGATTTTTTGATTAGTCAGAACAAAACGGAGGACCTATTTCTCTGAAAATTTGATATGCAAGATCATGCAAGATTTATCTAACTACCCAAGAACGTCACCAAAATTAATTAATCAAAGATTAAGAATAAAAACAATCTTATTGCAGTACATATTGTGTAGCAAAATTTGTTTATTAATGCATTTAATTAACAATCTTTCTATAATTATCATTACTAAAGACACGGTGTAACTTTTAAATCTATATTATCTGTTATTGACAAAACCCTACATATTTTGCCATTGAACTTAATATTCATGCATTCATATCCTTATGATTAAAATGAACCATATACGAAATAATGCTTTTGTTGGACCTTTCAAGTGCATCATTTTCTATCTGTTGAGAATGTACGCCAAATATAAGCAATAAGGCTGTTATTATTAACGTAAGAAATTAATAGTTGCAATAAACTCTTCTTTAAAGTCAAAGCTTATATGAATATAATTGTTTTTCAAGTTCATAATTTCAATTTTTTTGTACTAATATATTCTATCATAACAACATTAAATAGCATGTATTCGCCTTCTAAGCTGGTAAGTATGAAGATTCTTTTTAAATTCTTTTACACAGTGAATAATAATATGACTTTTAGAGTGATTTATATTAGCGTTAGCGGAACGTTATATTCTCATAAGTACGTTAAAGTGCATAAATAAGTTACCCGACGGTTAAGTATACAATATTGGGCAAAAATTGTCGAATAACGGCAATTTGGCAAATGAGCACGTGCCGCTTTGCGGCACGTGTAGCCAATCATTTGTTAAATTACCGTATTCGACAATTTGCCCAATACAGCAATATTGGTGTTATCCGGCAATTTATGATCATGATTGGTA